CACCACCACCACCACCACCACCACCACCGCCTCCGTCTTCCTTCCCCTCCTTTCCGATTTATCGTTCATCACAATTCACACGAGCGCCAGATGAGGCGTTTAGTTTGAACTGATATAAGTCTGTTTTAGAAAAGATTTTTAATTCCCGAATAATTTGGAGCCTGATCAGTTGTTAGATCAACGCCTAACGATTTAAGTATACGAGCCACATGCGTTCCGCGTATAGAAAATCACATATTTTTCTATGCCTTTAAAGAGATACCATAGAAAGTTTATACAATTTTGCAACAGATGCAAACTATATTGTACATTTCATGAGGAGCAGCGGTAAACGCACAGGTTCGATGCTGTAGGAATAGACACTGAACGGTCTTAAAAATCTCATAATTAAAAACCCTTTTAATAACTATGTATGCTTCTTTTTCGAGTAGAAAATATAAATTGGATGTGATTCTCTAGCAAACGAGCAAAAGAAAGCATATTTTGTCCATGTTTTCTACAAAATATATTTGAATTTACAAGACCATTAAAAATCAATGTGAAAGACTCGTGCTATCTAAGTGTTCTTTTTTTCAGAAGAGACAGTGGTGAGTGAACGTTCCTTTCGGTAAATTCTCATCAGGCCAATACATTTATAAACTTGGCCATCACTTTCGCCTCCGCAAGCATGGTGTTACAACGTAGGTACCCATTGAGTGCCTTCAACACCGTGGGGTCTTTGGACTGTTTTAAAGTTGTGAAAATCCCCATCACTATGTTTTTACCGCGTACGTTTTCTGCAGGAGACTAAGAAGCGGTGCATTTAAACGCTAACATCCTGCCAAGTCCCAAATATTATAGGATTATGTCTCAAGATAATCAGTATTACAAATCCGCCTACGTAATCCTTCCTAATCAAAAGCGTATTTCAGAATTTCAGCCAACATTTCATGAGATCGGTCACTCACTCTAATCTTAATTCATCAGAGAGCCGATAACCAGTCTCGGAAGGTCCCTGGCTTTTTGAGTAAGGAGTAAGTGGACTAGACACTGTGAGGTCTTACATTGTCATACGCAGACATGCCAAAGTTTCCCACCTCCTTTTTACTGAATGTTTTCTGGTCTTTAAAATATTTTTCTGCAATTGCTCTCCATCTCGATCGCAGAAACGCATGTGTATGTCGGAGCAGCGTAAGCCATAGAGAGACAATAACAACTACGATCATCAGGCCCAGGTCCGAACAAGCAGAGAAGAAGTGGCACGACAGTTGGGTGTTTAATACTGTACAGAACAATTACAGAAGAGGTTGATAAGAGTCGGCACTCGGACCAGGGCACGTCCAGCGCCTTCAACAGAGGTCATGTCTGAGTCAACCTCGAAGGTGATTGGCCAGTTTGGACAGCGGCGGCGCTGGCGAGAATCAGACTGCAATTGGTGCGCACGTACAAGTAATCGCGAGAGTTTACGAGTTGGGCCACGACATGCAAACTGTGGTACAGGAATAAATGCGCCCCCCATTCCCAAACGCGCTCGGGAAGGCCTGGGCAGCGCAAACTCGGCAGACGTCCTTTTTAAGGTTCTTGGGCCTGTCTACCTGCTGTTTCGCGTCTGGTTTCGCATTACGAATGTCTGGGGAACGACCTTGAACGTAATATACCGGGCAACCACGGCAGCAGGAGGCCGAGGTCCGGTTGACGTCCATTCAAATGAACTACAGCAAACACCAGAATCCATGGCGCATGGCCGGGAGTCTTTAAATCCGTTTATATAAAGGGAGAATAAATCAGATCCCGATCCTGTTCGACACAAATTTAACAAAAAGCTACGGCTGTGGTTTCCAAATATTGAAGCTCTGAAAATACATGCATGAGGTTGCACAAGGCAGAAAACTCACCAATCGAAAGGTAGATCTTTCTCATTGGGCGCCGCTTTCCAAGCAATAGTTGTCAGCATTTTGGATCTCAGTCCGAGCCAATACCTTCGTCTAAGGAAGAAAGCGCTGAAGTCCTCGAGGTCTTATGAACCTTCACATAATTTACGAATTCGATTTTTTAGCTCTGGTGTAGTCAACGGAGGACAGCAAATGCAAGTTGTGGATAAGTTTCTGCTTTTCACTTGTCGACCCACACTTTCGGATGCTTTGAGCTCAGAAACAAAATCGCGCACTGCGTTAGTTAATTAGAACCTGTTTATTTAAGCCTTTGCCTTTTCCAAGAAAATAATTCCCCATTGTCAAATAATTGCTGATGATCCTTAAATGACAGTTGTCGCTTCTGACTTGGAGAAATTCGGCTCCATTGAATTTTTCGCTAGCTAAGTATGCATGCTGGCCGCTGTTACAGAATACACTTCGGGATAATTCACAAATTAAAATTGGTTGGTTTTATTCCGAGAATCGCCTCAGTTACCACCTGTTGGTCTCAGTAGGCGGTAAACGACCTCTTAAGTAGTATTTGTGCTTTGGTTCGAATTTGAAGACTGGGCAGAGTCATTTTGCCCTCTTAACCTCCTTCGTGGAATTAGTAGGAGGTTGCAACCTCCAAATAATTATTCTACGAAAGTAGGGAACATATCGGTCAACAAAACAATCGATATCTCGAAATTCTAAGAGACCTTTTTCATCATCTGAAATACCCCGAATCCTTTTGATTTGTGCGCTTTCTGAAGACTAATGCATACTTAGAGTAATGTTTACAGTCACGCGCTTACATCAATCTACCCGGTCTCCGTTTCTGTTTAATCGTTGAACCTCGAGTACCGTGTCCTCGCATTCAGTAATCGACTGAACCTACCGTGTCGGTAAGGCTCTTCAGGTAAATTTACATTTCTACTCATTTTCATTTAAGGACACATCCTGTCTTGCATTAAAAGTACTCCATAGTTAATAGTAGTGAAAATGTGATTCCCAGGTGGCATAATAAGGAGTGCTGTGCACAGGACTTCCCAGTCCCTGAGGATGGGTAGACGAACAAACTACCCGAAACGTCGGATCTCAAATAAACGTCTCCCCGTGAAGGCCCCCTCTTCTTTTTACACTCCATACTACTCCTATGGAGAACTCCCTAACGGGGTTATGGGGTTGCCTGCTTGTAACCTAAATACAACGTTCCTTCAAATGGTGCATTTGGTAAGACTCGAGATAAGGAACGTCATCACTTCCCCCTTACTGCCTGTTAGTCGCCATGCAACCGTCTACCATAACGCACAGCGGAAGTACTAATTTCTGTCCGGCAATCAAGATAACTTGGTGCAGTCCATTGCAAATAAGTCAAGGGAATCCCAATGATCACGACAATCTCATGACTACTTGTCGAACCTGTCTAACAGGGACTAGAATAAGAGGTGATTCATACCCTAAAGCCCAAAATATGGCTTCACTAACTAAACGACACCTTTATCGCCATAAAGAACCGTGAAGCCGAACGACTGCATTAGTGACTGAATACTGCCTTCGCGGCCATATAGCTTTCAAGGGAAGAGGCAGTGAAAGACAGCCCACCGTTTATGGACATGAGAAGACAAAGAGTGGCCGATGATAATCTTACAAAAAGTGTTTATGGGAAAGGATAAAATGCTGAGATCATCCCAAATTGAGGGAGCAATCACCCTACAGCTCATAAAAGAACCCTGTTTCCCCAAGCCTATCGCTAAAGTAGCAGTGACGATCTCCTGGGGAAAGAAGCAGCTTGCATTCATTGGTTGTTTCGGTCTAAGGGATATCCGACCAGTTTTCGGCAGGGGTCGATTAGGCTGTCCTGGTTCCGAGTGTAAGCACAATGTGGTCACTGGAAGTAAAGAAAGTCGAAGGTAGGTGCTGAAATCGCTAGTGGGGAAAGTAGTCGAGGCTGTAACGGAAAAGGCAGCCTGATGTATGGAAAATCTGCCGGGAGAATCTTCGCAAAAGACCTGGCTGGCGGGACACGCGGGACTGCAATACCGCAAACTTGACGGTAAACCTAACCGCAACTTCGAAAGTAAACCTAATCCTTCACGTAATTCTTACCCAAACGCTAACCGTGAACTTAGCATTAAACCTTAACCTACCACAAACCCTAGCCCTGACCAAAATACTAACTTCGACCATAACTCTACCCTAGCCCAAACATTAACATTAAACGTAAACCTAAACCGCAGTGTAACCGGAACCCTTAAATTTAACACAAATCTTAACCCTAAACTCAGTTCTCAGCCTGATACGAACCCAAACCCTGAAACTAACTCTACCACTAAACCGAAACATCAGGTTTCCCTTTTCCGTTTTAGCCTTGGTTACTTTCTCAATAACGATTTCAGCATTCTCCTTCGGATAAATTTACTTGCAATACCCACATTGCACTTACACTTGGCACCAGAACAGCCTAACCGACTCCTTGCCAGTTCTGTGAAGAACTGCCTCAGGTGTGAGAAACAACCCCGAGCCCCCATCCCAAACGGAGGAATCGTGGCGCAGAAAGTCTTCTTCCTGCCCTTCAGTGAACCTCCCAATTGATCGAGCAACAGCTAAATCGGTTCGGCATCCACAATGCCAACAAACCAGCATACTCGCTGCGTGCGAAATTATGTCGAATAAACGAACCTATCCCCAAGGAACAGCAGACAGATGTGATCTATCGCATCCCATGGGGTAATTTTTTCAGCGTGAACGTTTGTCATTTGCATCGACGCCTGGGGAACCATATTGATGGCCAAAAACGAGCTGCTCGTCGCCTTGACCCATTGTCCCTCGTCTTTACAGACTCATGCCAGTGTGACCACCGATCTAATTGGGATGACACCGAGGTCGTCGCCATGGCCAGCACAAAACGGCCGAGAGAATGCATTGAGGCCCACCGACACTCCAATGCGGGTAGCATCAACCGCCATGTTGATCCAGACGCCATAATGAAGGCCTGCAGCGATCACAGCTCACTGTGCCCTGCCCCCATGCCACATCAACCACTGCTGACCCAGCCACCCGCGGCCCCGACATCCTCCCTCCCCCCTCCCGCACTGGGGGCAGTAATTGATCTGCCTCTCTCTACCCCCACTCACCGCTCAGGAACCTATCACGACCCTGTGCCCACCTCACCCCTCTCGCACAGTGGTGGTCTGTCTGTCAATGTCTGGCCTGTCTCGCCCACTGATCTAATGTCACAGTCTCACTTTCTCCTCAGTTCATTTCGTCCGACGAGGGGTTGGTGTCACCACCTTGAAAATTCACGGGTGCAACTCCAATTTTCGGAAGAATCTCACCCGTTTTTCATTGTATCGGTTCGGAATGCACTCCACCTATGGTCTGCAACGTACATTTTGACGTCAAGCACCTATTCTTACCAGACGTTGAGAGACATTTGTGCAGAAACGGGCGACGATCTTGGAACAACTGATTTTCCTCCATAGCTGTCGCCGTCACGGCGTGGTACCCAAATCTCCTCCTTTCAATCCTACGTTGCCGAATGATGCAGGAGATGCTGGAATCAGCCGTCTGTCTGATTTAATCCTACGGACGCTACGCCTCTCAACTTCCCACCAGGCATTGAATCCATTCTACTGACCTCTGTCCTTCTAGAAGACATGCGCATGGACATACGCATCTGTACCAATGGTATCGTTCGGCAAAAAAGACGTCAGTAAACCCTACCGGCCAAAGAAGCGCAAAGATTACGATAACTGGCATCGGATCACAGTATCGTTGTTGTTCTCGCTGACGAAAGTGCCGCCACTGTCATTACGGACAAGGTGCTTGAGAGGCCTACACCCCAAGCACTGCAGACCTGACGAAGAAACAAGCTGCAACTATCAAGAAAGGGATTTGTGGACTCACTCGTATGAAAGTTATTAATCCAAATGACTCTAAGTTGATTACCCTCAGTGATCTCCGTATCGCACACGCGTATGGTCTCCCTAACAAAGTCCATGCCCAACTGAGGATTATGGCACCACCCATCGGACCACCAACTTGCAATATTGTCAAGTGGTTGTACAGGCATCAGAAGCAGCTAACTCGTGGATCTGACTACAGCATTAACAACTCTCACGCATTCCTCCCCACAGGACCCAAGGCCTGAAAGTAAGTACTGATGAATGCCTCCTGTCTTTTGATGTCATTGTCTTGTTTTCTTGCATGCCACGCTATTTGGCAATTGAAAGCGTAGCTCGATGCTTACAAGAGATGCTTACTGTTGAGATGCCAACACAGCATGGTATGGAACTACTCAAACTCTGTCCTGGGAACTACTGTCAATTTGTCAATATGTACTACCGACAAGTTAAATGGACCCCAGTGAACTCGCCAATATCAGAAGTACTTGCCAAACAAGTATTGCAGCGAATAGTAAAAGAGATTATTCAAAATCCCACGCCCAATAGATGGCTTCGCTACGTAGATGCCACTTTTGTCGCAATAAAGAACCACTAAGTCCAAAGGCTACATTGAAGGCAGAATGATGTCTTCCTGTCTTCCTAGCCTGCCGTTTCTGGATGTGGAAAGGCAAAGGCTGAGCGATCGTAGCCTCGCAATATGCGTTCATAGGAATGGATCTAATTTCGAGATTCTCCTTAATTATAGAAGCATGCGTCCTGCGACTAACAAAAGAAGCTGTGTCCGCAATCTGCTTCATCGGGCTAACCGTTATTGCAGCGGCGACGACCTCGTATTTACCTGGTGATGGTGGAGCAGATGCGCTTACGCCGTCGGTTTGTTTGCGTCTTATGTTGACAGAAGCGCTTGGCAGAGAAGACTGTGAATAGAACTCTGTGGCTCTGATTGATGAATCGAGTGGTTAAGTATTCGCACTGCACGTGTACCTGTTTGGCGTATTGGGGCTGGGTTGCGCTGCGTTTGTGTCTTGCCAAAGGGTTTGTGGGGTATGTTGGAAATCGTACGTTGTTGTTTCCTCGATCCGAAATCGTTCTTCCATCTTGCCTGTAAACCCACGGATGCCACCGTCCTCTGTAGCGCGTGAATCTCCCTCGATTTTCGGGTATTTGTGGTGATGTGGTCGGAAGTTTGTGTGACTTGTTCGCTTGCAGGTGCCGCTCAACGCGAGTTATCGTGTCTTGTAGCTCGGTCTGCCAATTCTGTGTCTAATTCTTTCAACAATGTTGCCGGTATTTCGTCAGGACCGGGCGATGCCGCCTCTCGTAGTTTCCGTAATTCTTGTTGGCCAATGGCTTTTGTGAGAACCACTTAGTCAATTTTCGGGACGTCGTCCACATTATAATGATCAACGGGTAGAGCGACTTCTCTCGTAAAAACCGACTGAAAGAACCTGGGCAGATGTGCAGCCCTTTTGTCGTCCTTGTAGAGTTCAACGCCATCATCCGTTTTTAATATAGGGATGGGATTCCTGTTGTGAGTACTTTGTCTTATGTAGTTGAAGAAAAGCTTTGGGTTTTCTTCTGCACAGTTTAAAAGGTTGCCCTCGGATTCATAGCGGGCGTTATGTGCAAGGCACTTTACCCCATTCCGTTGAGCCTTTGGTCCATTCCTTGATTCGATTGTCTTTTCCCTGAAATAAGCTTTCCACAGCTTCTGCTTACGGTTTACTTCAACTTTTGGTGTAACCTTTAGCCATCGGGGTCTGCTGGTGATAAGTTCATCCAATACGGCCTTAAGCTCTAAGCAGTCCTCGAGAACACACCCCGTGAATGCCGTTTTCCAGTCTCTACGACGCATGCCGAGACGCATTTGGCTGAAGTCACCACGCCATATGTTGCGTCTGATCACGATGCTTTGATCAGGTACAGAGAAGAGAGAATACTCCCCCCTGTAGGACTACATGATCGCTTTTTCCGAGAGGGAGTAGACAGTTTACGACACCAACGCTTATAGGTGCTTTTGTCAATACAAGGTCTAATCAGTCAGCTAGTTGCCCCCACGTAGTCTGGTTGGAGATAAGACGTGTTGTGTGAAATGCGAGCTTTGCACTGCTTGAAGGAGACGACGATCAAAGTTGCCATCAACTTTAGGGACCCTTTATTGAACTAATGGCATCGTGTTTGTGGCAATACTGCTCCCGCTTTTATGTCAATAAAAGGGATAATCGCATTTGCCGCGTTTGTGTCTACGCGGCCGCCGAAGGTTTCTGTCGATTGCTCAAACAAGCTCTGCTTTTCCACCCTAGGAAGTTCTTTTCTTCGAGTACTCCGATGTCGTCCGATTTCTGTCGCTCCCTTTTCAGTCATCAGTCCGTTTTGATTTTACATCATCTTTTGATGTGACCTACGTTGTAGGTGAACGGTCTGAGTCTTATTATTAATTGCCTGCTTCTATTCGGTCTCATTGTGGGGGGAGGGGGCGATGATGGTCTGCTTGCTGATCTTCTGGGGCGGATTAATGCCATGCCGTGTCATATTCTCCGTTTCCGTCCATGCGGTAGTCTTTTCTATGTCGTATCCGTTTACCTTCTTCTGTGGTGGAGATCGGACAGCTTCTACTCTGCCAGTGAACTGGTCATTGTTCTTCAACTGGGTTGTTATCAGTGATGAGTGTGTACTGCCACTATCACTTCCCAACTTAGTTTGCGATTTTGGAGTGTCGTTTACTACCACTCTTGGCGAGGGTGAGGCTGTATGTTCATGTTGTCGTATGCCTCTTCTCCTAGCAGTTTTTTAGTTCTGCAGCCTGCGATATTGTAGTGTAAACGGCAATTAAAACTACAAAGACTAATAGATACTTAGCTCTAAGTGGGGGGGGGCGGTGTGCTGCATTTCTTACAAGAAGAATGACGATGGCAAAAGAGTATAAGAGGAACGACAAAAAGGTAAATAATTGTACAGACTCACGAAAAATAAAGCCCTCTCCAGAATCCTTGTTAATGAGGCTTGTCGCTCAGGTAAGTTTACGTAGTTAAACATGGACGAAAGCTATAAGTGTTTCGTGTCGATTGAATAAAAGCGATTGAGGCGAATGAGCGCAGTCAGTGAAACAAGTGGCATAATTGACAGCAGGATGCACTCAAGATGGGCTGGCTGGAGTCTGTCAGTGGAGACTGTGTCAGTTTTGTCAGCTCTCTGAATGAAGTACTACTTGTCCATCCGCTGAAGAACCTCATATGGGCCATCTTACGGCGAACAACGAGGCTTGCGAACCGCGTCATGCCGAACGAAAACGAATGGAGCAGCTGTAAGACACTCACGCACAAACACACGTTTGGATGTCAGACGAGTGGGAGTTGGACGCAGTTGTGCCACACGTTGTTTCAACTGCCGTACGAAGGTGCTCGGGATGTCGGTATTCGTCGTGGAAGACTGCACAAATTTGCCGGGCAGACGGAGGGGTTTAGAATACACAAGTTTGGAGGCAGAGCATTGGATGTCCTCCTTGACAGAAGATCGGATGCCCAAAAACGCAAGAGGGGGATTGTCAATCCAAGAAGCTGATTCTGTTTGGGACATGAGTGTGGACTTGAGTTGACGGTTTGGACGCTCCACGAGGCCGTTGGCGGCAGGGTGGTATGCCGTGGTTGTGATGTGCGCACACCCGAGCAGTTTAGTGAACTCACGGAAGAGGCTAGATTGGAATTGACTCAGCGGTCTGTAGTAAGGGTGGCCGGAACACCAAAAGTTGAAATCCAATGCATCAGGAAAACCATGGCGATATTTCCTGCCGAGGTATCCGAGATGGGAACGGCAATCGGCCATTGTGTGAAACGGTCAACCGCTGTCAGAATATGCGTGTACCCGCGTGAAGGGGGCAGCTAACCAACGAAATCCAAGTGGACGTGTTGGAATGGAACATCTGGAACGGCGAATGTACTTGGTGGAGTAAGTGTTCGGCGGTGTACTTTATTTTTCTGCCAGGCTAAACACTGTCTAGTCCAAAGAGCGATGTCAGAGTTCATCTTCGGCGAGATAAAACGGGCGGCGATTAGCTTACGAGAAGCGCAGATGCCAGGATGTGACAGGGAATGGAAATGGTCAAACACTGTCTTGCGGTAGGATAGTAGAACAACAGGTTGAGGAGTGCCCGTGGACCAGTCGCTCAAAATCGTGCCTGGTGATGCGGGAAGTGGTGCATCTGGAAGTTGCAGAGTAGTAGTAGGACGCAGGTCGTCCATGGAGTTGTCGCCTGATTAGAGGTCCGCAAGCTTCGCCAGGTCGAAATCGGAGGTAAGTGTGTTTATGTCCGGATGGGATAATTCACCAGCAACGACATTGTCGCTGCCTCGGACGTAGCGGATATCTGCAGTTAACTGCGATATATAGTCCAGATGACAAACTTCCCTGGGCGAGTACCGCTCTGGTTTGGCCTTGAGGGCGTAAGTGAGAGGTTTGTGGTCGGTGTGGGCCGAAAAATCTCTGACCTCTAAGAGGTGTCGAAAAAGATGAATGGCCAAGCAGATGGCAGGAGCTCGTGAGAGAAAGTACTGTAGCGAGTCTGCGCGAGTTGTAGCTTCTGTGAAAAGAAAGCCAATGGCTGCAACTGGTTACTCGCCTGTGTATGCAGGACTGCGCCGACAGCGCTGTTGGAAGCGTCAGTGATCAAGATCAGCTGTGCGTGGGGGTCGGAGCTTAAATGGTGAAGCCAAGTGGCATCAGCAAGAGCTTTCTTAGCTGCCTCAAAGGCTGCCTCTCATTATTCAACCCCGGGAAACATGGTTGTATTGCCCTAAAGTTTCAAAAGCAGACAGAATTTGGTTATCTACAACAACCAAATCAGACAACGCCCATCACCTTTTCTTTGGACGGGCCCGATCCGGATGACCGTGCAACTGGAATAGTGGGCGGAAGTCCTAGACGCATCGAACTTACTTCTCTGCCAGCCGCAAATCGCAAACTGAAATTTCTATATATAAATGTGCAGAGCATGTTATCGAAAGTTGACGAGCTCAAGATCCATCTATCTCATCTATCCCCGGATATAATCTCACTTACAGAAACTTGGCTGAACCAGCAGGTAGACAACCGTGAGTTAACTATACCAGGATACCAGTTGTTTAGAAGAGACAGGTCAGGACGTCAGGGCGGAGGCGTACTCACGTATGTAAAACACGGGCTTATGGTCTCAGACAAAACAGATAAACTTTCGTGTACTTCTGAGGCTATTTTGCTAACTATAAAAGCACCGGGTTCACCGAGCCTTGACATCCTGACGGTCTACCGACCGCCGAGAAATGATCCCACAGCGGACGCCCGTCTGATTGAGGACCTGGAGAGATTCTCTATCCGGTCCGAAGTCTTAATCATGGGGGACTTCAACGCACCTCTTATCGACTGGAGTTCAGCTTATGCATCTGGTCCAGACCATGCTTTCGACCGACGTTTGCTGGACATGACCTTCAAGTTATTTCTCACTCAGCACGTCTCCTTTCCGACGAGGGTGCGCGAAGGGCAACAGTCAAACTGTCTGGATCTGCTCCTTACGAAGTCACTGGACAGCGTTGATGAGGTGCAATGTCTACCCCCCTAGGTCGAAGCGATCACGTCGTACTGTTGTGGGAGTACTCCATTTTTTCTCTGCCCGAACAGGCCACCAGGGTTAGAAGGAACATTTGGCGCGGTGACTTGGCCCAAATGAAAGCTGAACTAAACACCATAAACTGGGAATCAGCTTTTTCCGGTGACATAATCAAGGATTGGGACTGGTTTAGTGAGTTACTGCACGTTCTTCTCAGAGACCACTGTCCTATTTCACGGAAGAAACTAAACTGCAGACCCCCGTGGCTAACACAAGCTTTAAAAAAAGAAGTGAATAAAAAGCTGAGGTTATGGAGGAAATTCCTCTCGGATAGGAGCTATGTGTCGTTAAATGCATACAAAGCACAGAGGAACCTAGTTAGGAGGTTAATCCTCGGGACGCGGCGTACTTTTGAGAAAGACCTACTAAATCGAGCCGCAGAAAATCCGAAGTTTTTCTATGGTTACATGAGAAGAAGCACACGAAACAGAGACCCAATCCCGTTATTGAAAACTAGTGACGACCTAGAACTCAGTGAAGACGGAGAAAAGGCAGAGCACCTTTCACAGTCCATCTTTACGAAGAAAGGCGCATTTCTCCCTCCCGACTGCGACATAGTGGACGGGCCAACGATTGAGCACGTCTCTTTCGCCGAAGCTATTGTTCACAAAGAACTGTTGAAGTTGAATGAGTCTAAATCACCTGGACCGGATGACATACCGCCCAAATTGTTGAAGGAACTTGCTGGAGAACTATCCAAACCGCTGTCCATGCTCTTCCAAGCTTCGTTCGAATCAGGCTATTTGCCCTCCGATTGGAAATCAGCGCGAATCACGCCAATTTATAAAGGCGGCAGCAAGGTCTTAGCAAACAACTACAGACCAATCAGCCTTACTTCAATTTGCTGCAAAATTATGGAGAAAATAATAAAGCGAGAAATAATGCACTTCCTAGAAGAGCATAATCTGCTATGCGATGCCCAGCACGGATTTCGTAGAGGCAGATCATGCGTGACGAATCTACTATATTGTTTAGATCGCTGGACCCGGGCAGTCGATGGCAGCAATGCAGTGCACGCAGTCTACGTCGACTTTAAGAAGGCATTCGGCAGTGTACCCCATCAGCGTCTCCTGTACAAATTAAACTGAACAGGCCTGAGGGGTAATCTCCTGAGGTGGATACAAAGTTTCTTGATCGGTCGCTCTCAAATCGTCCACGTCGGTGACAGGCAGTCGGCGGAGGTAGCGGTTGAAAGCGGTGTTCCACAAGGCTCCGTTCTTGGCCCTACCCTATTCATTATATACGTCAACGACTGCGTCAGTGAACTGAATTGTGATGTCGCCATGTTCGCTGATGATGTTAAACTTTGGAGCGTCATCCGAACTGAATTTGACGAAGAGCGCTTGCAGGCAGACCTGACCCGACTCGAGAAATGGTCACAGGACTGGCTGTTGCCATTTAATGTGACTAAGTGTAATGTCCTGCGAGTCGGCAGGACGCGATCTCTGAGCCGGAGGGTTTACCACCTAAACGGCGTACCATTGCAGGAGGTAGACGCCCAGAAAGACTTGGGGGGTGTGGGTAACGGCTTCTCTAAAACCGTCGCTTCACTGCTCCAAGGTAGCCAAGTCTGCGATGTCAGTCCTTTATCTTGTTATGAGAGCTTTCTCTACCTTCGATGAGGACTGCTTCGTTAAAGTCTTTCGGACTTTCGTACGGCCACAGCTAGAGTTCGCTATTCAGGCGTGGAAACCGTGGACCTCTAAAGATCTCAGCATCCTTGAGAAAGTTCAGAGGCGGGCAACCAAACTCGTAAGTGGACAGGGTTCACTACCCTATGAAACCCGATTGTCCAATCTCGGCCTCTTTCCACTGAGTTACAGACAGCTAAGAGGCGACCTTATACAAACATTCCGTATACTGCGCGGCCAGGACTGCTGTCTCGTACCTACTGATTTCTTTGAGTTAGCGACCACAACGAACCTCCGGGGTCATCCACTTAAACTACGCGTAACTGGCGCCAAGCTGGGCGCCTCCTTGTAGCAAATAGGGAGTTCAAAGGTTTAACACCTATATTTCCCTCAAATAAACTGAAACTGAAGCTTTCATCTTCGGAGGTGAGTATCGTACGGCGTCGCGGTAGTTAGAGGGGGGATGGATAAAAGTAGTGTTAACATGGTGTTAATTATACGGTGGGAGTCGTTAATCGACTTTGGCGCTAATTGCCCACATACACACAGGGATCTTCTCTGTAGTCGCCGGGGCAGAGCCGGAGGGAGGGTGCCTGCGGTCAATTTGCCTGTCCTAAATAGCCATCCTGGGTTGTTAGTCTTGATTGCATCCCACTGACCGCGTTTCTCCCCGTTTGCCGGCGTAGTGGTTGAGGCAGCAGTATTGATTACTGAGCCGTTTTGTCACCCGATTTTGACCTGGTTTAGGCTGCCTGCTGCGCTTGATGTAGTTACGGGGGTATCCGTTGGCCATAAAAGGTCGCTGAGGGTAGCGGAGCTCTGTCCTTCTGTCATGCGGTTCGCCGCAGAGTGTTTCTACTGTACTGTAGAGAGTTCGCACACAGCTGCGTTTGTGGCATTACGGGTGTTTACTGTAATTTGGCGTTTGTAGGTAGCCTTCCCATGCATAGTCGTTTTTATGTGCCCGTTGGGTTTTCGATGGAAAAGAACGTGCAAAAACGGCAGCTGGTTGTTGCTTTCCGCCTCATTCGTGAATTGGATGTCCGGGAAAACAGAATCCAGGACATTGCGAAATTCCTCGATCATTTCTCGCTTGATAATGTCGAAGGTGTCGTCGACGTACAGAGTCAAAAACTCTGGCCTTTGAGTTGTGTAAACCAGGCCCCCTATTTTTTGCAGAACTGCCTCAGCGATGAAGCCGGAGAGAGGCGATCCCGTCGACGTCCCTCTGATTTGTTCGTACATGGTCCCCTCCAAGGTGAAGTACGTCTTCAGACAGAATTTTAAGGGTTGGACTAGATGTCTCCGCTCCACTGACTCGTTCATCTCGTCATACCGCCTCTTGAGCAATTTAAGTCATTTTATTAGGGGAATAAGGCTTTCGCCCTTGAGCTCCCTATTCATGTCGATAAAAGGAAATGGAATAAATAATTACATCAGCAAATGCGGAAATTCAAAAGGTAACAGTAAGTGTGAGCCAGGCGCAAACTGCCACCGCTAACACCATTTTGAGTATATATACAGTGGTTTCTCAGCAAATGAGCATCTAGTCTACACTTAAAGGATTCGGCAGTTTCGGAAAGAACCACCGCATCAGGCAGTCCATTCCATGCTCAAATAAACCTGTGAGAGAAGGCGTTCCGTCGGACGTCCGAATGAGCCAGCTCCTTCTGCAGTTTGAAGGGATGACCTCGTGGACGGTCAGTTCCGGCCGATTCGAAGAAATCATCAAAGTCTAGGGCGAACTCACGGCCTCTGACAATCCTGCCGCGCAGTGGCCTGTAATTGAGAGGAAACAAATTTAGTTCGGTCAACCTGGTTTCGTAAGGCAGATTATTAAGATTCTTGGCCATCTTCGTAGCCATCGGCTGGACGCTTTCTGGTCGTTGATAGTCTTTCTTCAACCACGGTCGCCAGTCCTTGACTGCATACTCTAAATGAGACCGGACGAATGCCCCATAGGTTTTTCCGAACAGCTCTGTATCGATCATCACAAATCCTCGCCTCAGCGCAAATAACACCCTTGCCGCCGAGGTCCTTCTGCTCCACGACATTTGAAAGGGGCTGCCCACCCAGGACGTATTGAAAGGAATCGTCCTCCTTAGTGGTCTTTTCGGTGCGGAGTCTCTGGACCACACATTTGTCCACATTAAAATTAAGGAGCCAACGAGCTGACCAACTCTTCAGACGGTTGAGACTGTCTTGAAGCGCATACCTGTCTGCGTCAGATCTGATGGGTCTCCACAGCTTAACATCGTCAGCAAACATGATGGCGCTGCATCCCAGGTCGTCGACGCAGTCGTTAATGTAAACCAGGAATAGCAACGGCCCTAAGACGGAGCCCTGAAGTACACCACTTAGAACGGGGGTAGAAGTTGATCTCGAGGCCTCAACGCACACGGTTTGTGATCTGCCTGTAAGAAAATCTGTTATCCATGTCAGCAGCCTTCTTCTTATCCCGATTTCAGAAAGTTTGTAGATTAGGCGTTTGCGTGGGACGCTGTCGAATGCCTTCTTGAAGTCTGTGTAGATGTCATCGACCCTACCATCCTCGTCCAGTGCGCGAGTCCACTGCTTCGTCGAGGGCAATAGGCTGGAAAGGCACGAACGCTTCTGTCTGAAGCCGTGCTGCAGGTCTGAGAGTAGGTGGTTCTGCTCCAGGAGGTTCATTGTCGCTTACTTAACTATGGCCTCCATGATTTTACAGCAGATGCAGGTAAGACTAAGAGGCCGGTAATTGTTAGCATTAGTGCGAACCCCGCCCTTGCATATCTGAAAGATATTTGCTGTCTTCCATTCCGATGGCAGCCTCCCTAATTCGAATGTCGAGCAGAAGATGTGTGCCAGTGGTTTGGAGAGTTCGTTCGCAAATTCATTCAAGAATTTGGCCGGTATATTGTCCGGACCCGAGGACTTTGCTTCTTTGAGATCTTCCAGCCCCATTTCCACGATAGCTGTCAGAATCAGTATGGAGTCCAGCACGGGACCAGCGGTCTTAACGGCATTGTTGGCACTGCGACTACGAAACTCTGTTTCCCTAGTAAAAACTGAGGCAAAATACCGACCTAAGTGTTCGGCTTTCCCCCTGTTCTCAATGATTTGTACACCATTATCATCCCTCAGTACTGCGACCGGGTCCTTGTTTTTCAGTCTACTGTTAAGATAGTGAAATAAAATCTTGGGTTTCTGTTCAGCCTGTCGGATAATTTTGGATTCATATTCCTTCCGTGCCTGATGGATACATTTTTGACTGCGTTTCTTTGACGACGAAATTCTTCGAAATGCGCAGGTGACGCAGTTTCCCGGAATATTTTCCATCTTTTTCTTTTCATCTGCCTATTTAGGTGCCTAGTTAACCAAGCAGATCGACTAGCTGCTTTTGTAGTTCAGGTGGACAACAGCGCTGAATTAGATCGAGTGAAATCGTCTTAAAAGATCTCCAGTCGTCCTTCGGATCTACCCCGAGCAAACGGTCCCAATTCACGGACATCGTTTTGAAATCTGCCTTTCATATATTAGGTTGGCCTTTTGATCTCTTCGGGCGTTGAGAGAAGAGCGACTAATCCCATAGTAGCGTAATATGGTCACTTTTCCCGAGAGATGCATTGGAATACACTTCGTCGATATTAGAGAAGTCTTTAGTCTGAAGATTTCGGGATATTGCGCTTTTCAAAATAAATCGACATTTCTAAACAACACAACACTACCTATAATATTTCTTTTGTTTTAAATTCGGCAGGGGCCAAATAGGCGGCCACAGGCTTACTCCACAGCTACCTTACGT